ACATTGCTTCTGTTGTTGCTCAGGATATTGCTTTAGGATCTATTAATGATGCAAAGTTGTGGCATCTTAGGTTTGGTCATATACCTTTCCCTAAACTGCAGATTATCTTTCCTGCTCTTAAGGTAAAAGGTTCTGATAATGTTGTTTGTCAAATTTGTCCTAAGTCAAGATAACATAGATTAAGTTTTTCTAGAAGTGAAATAAAATCTGATGTACCTTTTCAGTTGATACATGTAGACCTTTGGGGTCCTTATGTACATCAGACATCTACTGGTTGTCATATGTTTGTAACCATTGTTGATGATTATACAAGGATGACTTGGATCAAGTTGATCAAGTTTAAGTCTGATTTTATTTCTGTCCTAAGGGATTTTGCTACATTTGTTAAGAATCAATATGGCTTTGATATTAAATGCATAAGGACTGATAATGCCAAAGAACTTTGTGAAGGTTCGATTCTTGATTTTTACCATTCTTTTGGCATTGAACATCAAAAGAGTTGTAGTGACACTCCACAACAAAATGGAGTTGTGGAAAGAAAACACAAACACTTGTTGGAAACATCTAGAGCCCTTCTTTTCCAAGCTAAATTACCTATGAAATTTTGGGGAGAATGTGTACTTTGTGCTGCATATCTGATAAACAGAATGCCTTTATCTATCTTAAACAATCTTTCACCTTATGAAAAGTTATTCAAGGCTCCACCTGATTTATCAAACCTGAGAGCTTTTGGCTGCCTCTGCTATGTGTCTACCCTCAAGGCACATAGATCTAAATTTGATCCTAGGTCTGATATTTGTGTTTTCATTGGGTATCCTATTGGTCAGAAGGGATACAAGGTTTTGCATCTTGCAACTTCTAAAGTTACAATTTCTAGAGATGTTGTCTTCTTTGAGAAGCATTTCCCATATCATATGAGGGATGCTCATAGTTCTGATTCTTCACCCTTCCAATTTTTTATGCCTCCTTCTGCTTCTCCTTCCTTCTTTCATGATCCTTTCACCACAAATTCTGATGATAACACAAATACATCACATTCTTCTCCTCCTTCTTCTCCATCTTCTTCTTCTTCTTTTCTTTCTTCTCCTTCTTCTTCTCCTTCTCTCTCTCCTACTGATGTTGTTGACATTCATGATGCTCTTTCTCTGCCTCATTATGAACCACAAATTAGGGCTTCTACAAGGCCTAGAAAGCCACCCAAGCATTTTGGTGATTATGTTATGACTGTTGTTTCTTCTCACTGGTGCAATTTGGTTGCTTTCTCATCTATTTTCCCTCAACATAGAGCTTTTGTTTCTCACTCAACACCTTTATCTGAGGCATATGCAACTCAAGATTGGTTTATTGATTATCCGGACTCCATTGTTCATCATCAACCGATTCTATTTTCGGATCACGCAGCTAGTATCTTTTCAGACTCGTTACCTCAAGATTCTGTTCGGCGACCTTATAGAATCGAAAACTGGTGCTTATCTGGTCAGGATACTTCTAGGATTATTAAGGATGGCTGTCGTTTAGAATTTACAGGCTCTTCGTGTTTTACCTTATCTCGCAGGCTTGCTGTTATTCGCGGGCGACTTAAAGACTGGTGCCTTAGCCACAGGAAATCTTGGGGTATAAACTGGAAAGCTTTATGTTCTGATTTGTCTTCTTCTTCTACTCAATTACAATCCCCAATGGCGCGAGTTCTTTTTCTAAATACTAGGGAAGAGAAGATTGCCGAAGCAAATGCTGCTTTTCTCTATTGGAAACAACGTGCTAAAACTAAATGGGATGCTGGAGGGGAGTCACACTCCAAATTACTGTTTTCGGTGGTCCAAGCTCGTCGTCGTCGTAATCTGATTGTCAGTCTGAAGAATAATGCTGGTATTTGGGTTTCGGATTCTCTTGGGCTTCGCTCTCTTATTCAGGCCTTTTACTCTGATCTATATTCTCCTGTATCTCCATTTGGGAGTGACCCTCCTTTTTCTTGGGATCACCTTGGCCTCCCGACGCTATCCTCGTCTCAAAAGGACATGTCAATGGCCCCGTTCTCGCCTTCTGAGATTAAAGCTGCAATGTTTCATATTGCTAACGACAAATCTCCTGGGCCTGATGGCTTTACTTCGGCTTTTTTCAAGACTCATTGGGATCATACTGGGCATTTGGTTATCTCGGCAGTTCAATACTTTTTTGCTCATGGTTATATGCTGAAGGACTGGAATAGAACCTTCTTAGTCCTTCTACCGAAGGTTTCTCAGCCGGAGTTAGTGTCTCAGTTTCGGCCGATTGGTTTATGTAATATCATGTACAAATGTATAGCGAAATGCATTACTGGCCGTCTGCGAGGGGTTCTTCCATCTCTTATTTCAGGGTTCCAGAATGCCTTTGTGTCGGGTCGCCTAATTTCTGATAATGCTTTGGTAGCTCACGAGCTTCTATCCTTTATGAATGCTTCTAAAGCTCGGAAACGTTTTTATGCGGCTCTAAAGTTGGATATGAATAAAGCTTATGATAGAGTGCGCTGGGATTTTTTAAGTCAGGTTTTACGGGCCTTTGGTTTTCCGCCTTATTGGGTTCATATTATTGAGCAGTGTGTTACAACTGTCTCGTACCAGGTTCTTGTGAATGGGAGTCTTACACCCTCCTTTCGACCACAATGTGGTCTTAGACAAGGTGATCCTCTATCACCATATCTATTTGTTTTGTGTATGGAGGTGTTGTCGACCTCTCTTAGGCGGGCGGAAGAACAGGCTTTGTTTTCTGGTATTCGTGTGTCTAGGGGCGGACCTTCTATTTCCCATCTGTTCTTTGCAGATGATTCGCTGTTATTTTTCCAAGTTTCGCCCCAAGCGTATGACAATGTCATGGCCATTCTTTTGGATTTTTGCTCTGCTTCGGGTCAGATGATTAATCTTCAGAAGTCCTTTGTCAAGTTCAGCCTGAATACGCCTCAAGACTACCGTGATTTTTTAGCTCGCAATCTTCGACTACAATCAAAGGCTTCTTTTGGTACTTATCTAGGTCTTCCTGTTGACCTTGGAAGGAGTAAAGTCGCGGAATTCAGGTTTCTAATTGACAAGGTTGCTAGCCGGTTGTCTGCTTTTGCTTCTCTTCTTCGCTTGTCAGCAGCAGCGAAACTGGTTATCATAAATTCGGTTTTGATAGCATCGTTTAATCATATCTTGTCGGTTTTCAAGATTCCGTCTTCTGTAGCTTCTCAACTTGATAGCATGCTTGCCAACTTTTGGTGGAGATCGTCTGGTTCTCGGAAGGGTTTGGCGTTGCGCTCAGCGTCTCTTCTTCATTTACCAAAAGGTTTGGGGGGTTTGGATGTGCGCAACATTGCTTGCTTTAATTCAGCTATCCTTGCTGGTACAGGGTGGAGGATGATTCGAAATCCTCAACTTTTGGTTTCTAGACTCATGTTTTCGAAGTACCCCTCTCTGCCAGTCAATCCGGAAGCTCGGATTTCTCGCCCCTCTTGGGGCTGTCGTGGGTTGCAGATGGCTCTTTCGGCTGTTTTTTCTGGTGTACGTTGGAAAGTGGGTAGAGGTGACAAGGTACACATAATAGCCGACAACTGGGCTCCTGGGGGTCCAGTGTTATTCAAGGATGGTTTATCTCAGTCGGATCTTCCGACTCATGTGTCTGGTATAATTGATCCGTGTTCTAACGCGTGGGACTCCTCGAGAGTCCATCGGTTTTTTGATAGTCCAACTGCCGTCAGGATCCTTAGTTTGGATCGTCCGCAGGAGCTTATGGATGATTTTGTATATTGGAAATTTACCAAGGATGACTCCTTTTCTACGAAGTCTGCCTATGCTCTCTTACTTCAGCAGACTATCAGGTGTCCTCCTTTGGGGTCCTTGCCTACTCCCTGGTGGAAGAAATTTTGGGCGCTCCCCCTTCTTCCTAAATGGAAGATCTTTGGTTGGAAAATAATTCATGCTGGTATTCCGGTTGCCTCAGCTCTAGCTGTTCGCGGCGTTTCCGTGGATTCGACTTGCTTCTTTTGTTGAAGGGAGCAGGAGACGATCAACCATTTGTTTCGAGACTGTGATTTCGTTACTCCTTTATGGGTTCGCAGCTCGTTTCATTTTAATAGTCAGGGTCTTCTTCATCTTCCCTTTCTCCAATGGTTTTCTGTTATGGTCTCGTTGTTAGCGGCTGCTAAGGATTGGGAGAACTTGGTGTAATTTTTCTCCCTTCTTTGGGCTATATGGTTGTCCCGTAATAATGTACGTTTTCGGCAACAAGCTGTCTCTCCTGATGATGTTTTGCTTCTTGCTTCTCAGTGGAATGTGCGGGGGAGGCAGGCTCAGGATTCTCACCTTCCTTCCTCTACTTTGGGTCCTAGCCCTAGGCCTGTTGGTTCGGGATTTGCTGCCACTCTTGCTGGGGACCTTACATCGGGGTTTGATATTTGTTTGATTTGCAACGGGTCTTGGTCATCCTCGGATAATTCGGCAGGTGCTGGTTGGGTTCTTCGTGATTGTGGTTCTCCTTCAGTCCGAGGAGGAGGGGCCCGTGCTTCTCTCTCTTCTTCAGCCTTACAGTCTGAGTTACAGGCTTGTTTTTGGGGGTTACGCAATGCATTTTCTCGTGGTTTTCGTAGGATTCTTATTTACTCGGACTGTGAGCCTCTGTGTCGGATGTTAGCCCAACAACAGAAAGATGAGGTTTCTTTATACTGGTTACTTCGGGATACTCGGGTTCTTTTGTCTACCTGTGCGGCTTGTAAAATTCTTAAGGTTCCTAGGGAATGGGTGTCTCCTGCACACTGGTTGGCTGGAAAGGCTCGTGCTCGGGAGTGTTTTTTTTGGTCTTTTTAGTCTGTTGCTTATGTTTTCTTTTCTTTGTTCTCACTGTCAAAAAAAAAAAAAAAAAAAAATTCAAAGACTTGGGTTTGAAAAGTAAACGCTCATACAGTCATTCAAGGCCACATGCAATAAGTGGTAATCTTCATCCGAGGATAGATCCTTCTTAAGATAATAAGATAGAGCTGGAAAACTCAGCCACCATTTCCTTTATAATCCTTCAATACTAGAATAAACATGCACAAGTTCTATTTTTTAATTTTTTTTTTTTTTTATAAAAAAAGCTCTTGCTAGCAACTTAGCAGGAATTATTTTCCCGTCATACATAAGCTTGTAAGGAAAACATGAATGCTCTTGCGGAAGGGAACATGAATAAGGAGATTACGGTTGACGTCGATGTTAATCATCGAGAACCATGGATTGAAGGGAACATGAATAAGGAGATACCATTGCATATAGCAATCAGGGAAGGGCACAAGGAAGTCGCTTTGTCTTTGCTGTCAATTGATTCGAACATTTCGGGGTTGATGAGTGGCTTTTGTGACAAGGATGGTTATACTCCTCTCTACCTCGCGGTAGAAAAGGGGTTTGAAGATGTTGCCTTAAGAATGTTGGAGTCAAGTACTGATTCTTCAGACAAAGACAATACCACGTCAAACTATCAAAATCCCTTAAGTGTGGTGCCCCAGTGCTCAGGTGAGTTTAGTTATTTAGATGATTATTTTCTGTCATACTAACTGCTAAAGAGCATCCCAAATTTAAGCTCGATAGGAATGGAGTCATGGACCTACACCAACTGCACAGTACAACAGAATTGGAGAAGTCTATAGTTGGCTTTTAAGTATTTTGCTACCAAAAAATGTTTTTTTTTTTTTTTTTTTTTGTTTTTGTTTTTGTTTTTTTTACTCCATATCCATCCACCATTTCAAATTAATCGCAACACTTTTCTCACTTTATCATCTATTTCAAATTAATCGCAACACTTGTCTTATTTCGTAAGGACCATTACTAGTTTATAATTTATTTCTCTAATTAACACACTAACATAAATATTATATATATACTACTTTCGTTAAATGTTATCTGCAACTTTGGGGGACTTTACGGTTCACGATGCAAAATTGATAATGGTGATTAATGTATTTTAGGGGTATGTAATTAAGGTGGAGAGAGAATGTTTGGATAATTAATCAAACACCCACTGCCACCACCAAGACTGGCCAACACCAGTACACCACCTACTGCCACCACCAAGACCAGTCAACAGTCTAACACCACCGACACCGCCTTCACCAAGACCACCACCGTCATCGCCTTCACCAACCCGCGAAACCAACTCCACTACCAACCCCACGAAACCACCACCACTACCAACCCTCATGAAATTACCACCACTACCAACCCCCACAAAACCACCACCACCACCCACGAAAATCAAAACCCAGAAAATCCGACCCCCACGAAAATCAAAACCCGGAAAAACCCACCCCACGAAAATCAAAACCCAGAACAACCCACCCCCACGAAAATCAAAACCCAGAAATCCCACCCCAACTTAAATCAAAACCCAGAAAAACCCCCCTCCTCGAAAACAAAACCCAGATCCGACGGAAAACCGAGAAAATCCCACAAATTCATCACGAATTGCACTTCTTGAAAGCTGAAAAAAGAGAAAGAAGATCTCAAATCCATGAAACCCACTACAAAATTTTAAAAAAGTTGAAGAGAGAGAAAGAAGATCTAAGAAAGATTAAGAGAGATAATGATATTGAAAGAGGAGAGAGAATATATGGGGGAAGATGAAGATGTAGATGAATGAAGATGAAGATGAATGTAGATGATTTTGGATTTCTTGAGTTGAAGATGAAGATGAATTAGATTGGGTTAGTTGGGGTGAAAATTGGGAGAGAAATTAGTGATTAATTAAATCTGATTATAATTAGTAAATTGTGTTTTAATTTTTTTAATGAGGGTAAAATTGACATTTGACAAGTTTTTTTTTACTAAAAGAGGAAAGAAATTTTTTTGTTGCACATAATGCTTAGCGGACAAAAATGACAAAAGTTGCAGATAACATTTAACGGAGGTAGTATATATATATATATATATATATATATATATATATATATATATATATATATATCACATGCTTCCCGTGTCATTGATGACATTGATTTTATGGCATTAAAATAAGTTTAAAAAAGTTAAAACACTGGAAAAAAAAGTTTAAAAATTTACGAAATTACAATAATGCCATAAATTGTGTGTGTGTGCGTGTGTACATATATGCATGTATGTATAAGTAAATGTATGTATGTATATACATATATAAGTATGTATGTATATATATACATACATACGTACATATTTCATTAATGTCATATTTGTAAATAATGTAATTTTTTTCCCATTTCTTTCTTTTCTCCTGTGTTTTTCTTCCCTTCTTTTCCTTCCAGTTCATAACTCCATCCCATTTATTTTCACCCAGAGCTCATTTTCTCCATTTCCCTCTATCTCCACCCTATTCCTATGTATTTCCTCTTCCTACCATCTTTCTCTCATGAATCTAGTAAGTGAATTATGGACACAACACGTATCAAAGAAAAGATTGAAAATCAATTGTGCATTATCTTTAAACTAAATGTATATTTTTTTTGTAAAAAATGTGCTTATTTTAAAAATGATATGTGCTTGCATATTTGATAGTAGAAATGTGCAATTCCTTTGTACTTAAAATGCATATTCGGATGCCGTTCTTTTTATTTGCTTTTGTAGTAATATGTACTAGGCTCTTTTCTTTATCCTTTGTCAAAAAACAAAGCATATTCTTTACATAAAACATTATAAGTTGAGGAAGAAAACCTAGTTATGGTTGGTAATAAGGAGAAGGGCTCTGCCGGGTCGAAACCTCTCATAGTTCCTCCCGGATCGGGCTAGATATTTTGAGTGTGTGTGTGTGTTGGGGGGGGGGGAAGGATAAAGAAATCCCCACCCCAAAGTACCTCTAGTGGGTTTGATCCTACAACCTCTTCACTGTGAGATGCAAACTTTTTCACTAGACATTGCTTGATTTGTATGTGTGTGTGTGTGTGTGTGTTTGTTTCTTTGTTGAGATAATATGAGAACCAAGATGAATAATGAGAACTAAGAACTAATATGAGCCTTTAATCACGCTCGATCTGACGGCTCACGTTCACCTGCACTCATTAATGGCATTTTCGTAATTTCGCGGCTTTTCAAAGTTTTTTCAGCTTTTAACTTTTAAGGCAATTTCATTTACTTTATGATTAATTTCATTTACTTTTACTAAGTTTTCATTTACTTTTACTAAGTTTTCATTTATTTTATGAAATGAAATTGGAACTGTTTTGTAAAGTTGAAATATTACAAAAATGTCATTAATGATATGGGAAGCATGTGGACTGTCTGATTAATATAAAAGCCTAAATAAGTTCATAGTTCTCATTTTAGCCATGAAGCATGTGGACTGTCCGATTAATATAAAAGCCTAAATAAGTTCATAGTTCTCATTTTAGCCTTGGTTTTCATTATTACTTGATTCTATATGCAAATGAGATTATGTGAAGCCTAGATAAGTTCATAGTTCTCATTTTAGCATTGGTTCTCATTATAACTTGATTCTATATATAAATGAGATTATGTGAAAACTTAGGTGTATATTTTGAGAATTAAGAACCAATCTCAGCAATTAATCATTAAAATTGAGTTTTTTTTTTTTTACTTGATGACATTTAGTATATTTTCGTTAAAATAAGTTGTGCAAGGGGTTGAACAAATATGTATTTACTTTTAATGTAAAATGATTTACTATAATAATGTTCCGCTTTACTTATAGGATAATTTGTTCAAAAGGACCACTTAAGCGGTCTCTTTTGTTCAGAACGACCAATTAAGACAAAAGTTGTTAAAAAGGACCACAAAACACACTTTGGGTTGTTAAGAGGGACCAAGTTTTATTTTCAGGCAAGTCAATGCCGGACTCCGGCGTTGACCATCACGTGCCAGGCACATGACTCATTGAGTTGAGTCTAATTTTTTTTTTTTCTCACTTTTTTCACGATTTTCCCCCAAAATTCCCAATTACCCCCAATTGTTTTCATTTCTTCTTTCTCTCTCCTCAAAGTATAAACTCTAGATTGACTGTAATGTGCAATTGAGCCCTCTTTCTCCTAACAAATTCATCCACAATGCAGTTGACTGTTGAGGACAAGTCACAGAAGGTAAGCATTGTGAAATTTTTTCGAATTTGTCGAATTTTGCAATTTTGGTTGATGTTGTCCGTTTCAGTGTTTTGTTCAAATTGAATTTGCAGCAAAATGAATCTGGGCAAAATGAAGAGAACTAAGTGCAGCGGAATATCAAGTCGATTGACAATTGTGCTTTTTTTGCCCTTTTCCTTTCCTTTTGCCATTGATAAGGTCAAAAACAAAAACAAAAACAAAAACAAAAAAAAAATGAATACAAATGGTGAGGAAACACTCCAAGATAAGAAAGGAAAGTGACAGGGAGAGAGAATAGTACAAAGAATTTACCTTTAATAGCCTCTGATCTCACCAACAATGGCAGACTTCTAAATCCATGAACAGTGCTTTTGAGCAGGGAGAAAAAGAAGAAGAAATGGAAAATAGGGAATGTTGGGGGTAATCGTAAAAAAAAATAAAAAAAACAACAACAACCCAACTTCATGGCACGTGATGGTCTACCTGAAAATAGGACTTGGTCCCTCTCAACAACCCAAAGTGTGTTTTGTGGTCCTTTTTAACAACTTTTTTTTAATTGGTCCTTCTGAATAAAAGAGACAACTTAAGTGGTCCTTTTGAATAAATTTTCCTTACTTTTAACATAGTAAACATAAACGAGCAAATGCAACCCCTAATAAAAATTGTTGCAATAGGGCAAGAAGCCGTTGCTATAGACCTATTCTAACGACTAAACCGTTGCATTTGCGGCTGTTGCCAATGGCGGATCTAGGGGGCACATAGAGTTACAGTTGTACCCCCATTCTGCCAAAAAAAAATAAAGTCTGGTAAGAAAAGAGACCTCCTGTATCAAAGAGGTGGTCTCTTAGGTTCTGTTATGTAGTTAGTCAAAGCAACAAATTAGCCCGCGTTTTTGAGTAACATCAAAGAGATCGCCTACTTAAAAAAAGGTCTCTTAGCCTCTTTGGTGATTTTTTGTAGTTTAGTTTTTTCAATCAAAGAGACTTGTTGTTCCAGATAACAGGTCTCTTAGATAATCTCTTTTTTTTTTCCGGAAACATATTTAATTACTCAATAATAAGACTTATCGGAGGAGGATGGGATGTATTGTACATTTGTACACGCAATTAGTAATACAAAGTAAAATGATTTATTAACTCAAAATTTATTTAGGAAAAAATTATTGCAATTCTTATTATTTTGTAAACTTTTTTATCGAAATTCATTTCGTACCCCCATTTCACAAATCATGGATCCGCCATTAGCTGTTGCACTAGGTTTAATGCAACGGTTCTTTTAACCTAATGCAACAGTCATATACTCTCTAACAAATCAGTTTTTTTTCCCTTTTCTTTGGTGCTAACAGAGAATGTCGGACGAAAACTGCTGGAAAGATACCCCGATCTCATGTACAGAAGCAATAATGTAAGCCGTGAGGAGACATTTCTTCATGATTGGGTTAGATATGAGAAGCTAGATTCTTTGAAATGGTTTCTAGAGCAAAAGCCTATACCGGAGATAGCTTGGTCTACAGTCCGCCAAAAAGTAATCTGTCAAAAGGACACATTTGATTATAATCCTCTTCATGTTGCCGCGGAACGTAGCTTACCTGAAGTAGCAGACCTCCTTATAGAAGCATACTTACAGGAGCAAAAATATCACAAGAGAGATCAGTACAACGGAAAAAATCAGCATCCTTGGTTACAAAGGAACAAAAACGGGGATACTCCTTTGCTTTTGGCCATCAGAAATAAAAAATTTGAAGTGGGGATGCATTTGTTGGATGAGAAAAATAATCCTGAAGATCAGTGCAAGATCACCTCCAACACCGGTGAAAGTCCACTTTTCCTAGCTGTCCAAAATAATTATTTCGACCTAGTAAGAGAAATAATTCTGAAATGCACAAGTACAGAATACACTGTGCATACTGGTCCAGATAAACAAAACCCTATGCACGTAGCTTTAAACTGCCCAGGTACTACATTCTTCTATCATTAACTGCTCATAATAGAACTTGGTCAAATATTTATTTAAAAAATATTTATGTGATGTCCTAAAAACCAACATATTAATGGCTTAAAATTTAATTACCAAATATGTGACTTCTTAAGTGACCGATGAGTATTTTCTTGCTTTTGTAAAGGTTACTTTGCCTTAAAAATTAAATCATACTTCCTCCGTTTTTTTAGTTGACACCGTTTGACTTTTACATTATTCACAGACTACACTTTGACTCGCTTTTGTGATTGATAGATACGATAAAATATAATCATGTGAGATCTTGTTTGAATTGTCTATGTGTATAGTTTTTTAATATCCACTTTATATAATTTTACAATGTTGATAATTGAAGTTATTAAATGTTAAAAACATGTGTTGGCAAACGTGATAATAAAAAGGTGTCAACTAAAAAAAACAGAGGAAGTATACTATTTCTCTCTCTAAGATTTTTATTCATCTTTCTAAATAATTTAAACAAGTGAAATTAAAATATGAAGAAATATACAAATTCGTAATTTGAGATTGGGAAATAATGCTCTTTAAAAATTACTATAATGTTGACACCTTTTTATTATCACGCTTGCCAACTAAAAAAAGTGTCAACTAAAAAAAAACTGAGGAAGTATACTAAAGAGGAAATAGAAAAGGTGTTAACTAAAAAAACAGAGGAAGTATACTAAAAAAGGTGTCAACTGAAAAAAAAGAGAGCAAGATTGAAAAGCTAGATGTTCTTTAAAAATTACTATAATGTTCCTTTTTTTTGTTGAATAAAATAATATTCATTACATTATTTTATCATGTTCATTATTAATATTACGGATCGATGTTCTTTATATATATATATATATATATATATATATATATATATATATATATAAAGAAAATAATGCTGGATGTTTTATTTACAAAATAGATGCATGTTCTTTACAAAACAACTATATGTTCATTACAAAACAACTATATGTGATGTTCGTTATAAAATAGGTATATTTTCCTTACAAAACAACTATATGTTATTTACTGAACAACTATTTGTTCATTCCGTCTTTTTTTTTTAAAAGAAAATCAGATGCACGGAGCATGGTGCATCCGCCTTCACAGAACTTTTTTTAAAATTATTTACCTTAAAAAAACAATATTAGAGGAAAAGTTTCACATTGTCTAAAATAAGTTCTACTTACTACCTCCGTTTCTTATTATGTGCAACAAAGGAATATTTTATGTCTCATAAATAATACCCCTTTGTTGCACATAATAAGAACATAGGTAGTATAATCTCTAAGCAAATACTCGGATATTTTAAGTTATCAGCAAATAAAGAAATCTCTTTTTTTAAATGATTATTGAAAATTTTGACATAACTGCAATTACAATTTGTGGCTGTGTTTGGTAAACAGCTTATTAGACCAACATTAGCATATTGACTGTTAAGTAAGCTAATTCAAGGTGTTTGGTGGGAAGCTTATTTAAAGAGTTTATTCCACTAAATAAGCTCTTTTTGAAAAAGCTCCTTAAAAGGAGTTTTTTTAATTAGCTTATTCATTAATCTATAGTGAAATGACACTTATATCCCCATTGAATTTAAAATCCTACCTAAATTACCTACATCATAATTAGCTTATTGGTCATTTCACATACTCAAACAACTTTAAGCTATCAGCTATTTACCAAACATTTTTATACGATAAGGTAATAAAATAAGTTAGTCAAATAAGTTAATACAATCCGATAGTCAAAATCAGCTAACATAATCAGCTTCAGCTTTGGGCTATTCACTAAACACGGCCTATAAATACGTTATCATGATAAAAAAAAATACACTTAATGATGATGATGATAATAATAATAATAATAATAATAATAATAATTTAATTTTTATTTATGGAATATAATACACTTAATAATTAAAACAAAATCTTTTCAAGGGAAATCAAAACGAAACTTATTTTACTTGTCTATCAAGTTAATTTTTTTTTTGAACGGATCTATCAATTTAATTAACTTATGTACTCCGAATTCACAATTATTTCAATGTTTGTTTAGAGTGTGTTACAAAAATACCAACAAATTTACAATTTCTTACAAATGAGTGAAAAAACGGATAATGTAAATGTATTTTTGAAATAATAAAAAAATACCAGTAAAAGAAATATGTAAGGAGAACCAGGCCAGCAAAAAAACATCCTAAAATTTTTCCATTACAAAAAAACCCTAAATTATAGGGTGGAAAAAAGAGAGGAGAGGAAAATTGGAGGGATTTTAGAGGAAAAAAAAAATAAATAATTGTTTTTGCCACTAAGTAAGATTTTATAATAGATGATTGGATTCCCAAACTGATCTTGATACGACTAAATAACAAGGAGTATGAGAATAATGGCGTGTTCGGCAAAATATAGCTGTGAAGGCAGCTGTTAGCTGTGTAGGTAGTTCTTAGCTGTTTAGATATGAGTATTCGGTAAAGTAGCGGTTGATTAGCCGTAATACTTAAAAATCAATATTTTATATTTAATTCTATAGATTAAATTTTAAACGGCTACCTCAAAAGCTACCTCTAACTTCAAAAGCTAATATTTCTATTTTTTTTTCTTCATAAAAGCTACCTTGACTAAAAGCTACCCTAACTACTACTTTGCCAAACACGTACTTTTTTGTTAAGTAATGGTTTGACCAAGTCAAACCACTAAAAGCTACTCAAATGCTAGCGCCAAACACGCCCTAATCCCAACATTTTAGTAAACTTGTGTCTTGTTTTTTTTTTTTTTGGTGTTCCACCCGGTTCACCTTTTGGGCTAATCCAAATTCGGGATCAGTTTAGGGTGGTTGGGTTCCAGTCCCCTCCCAATAAAATCGAATAGAGATAATGTTGGTTGAAGAGTAGTTACTCCGTAACAAATACATTTGTTCTCCTCATAATCAAGTTATCTCATTTGCATACAGAAATTGCAAAATTGCTGATAGAATACCACCCTGAGTGGGCAAAGAGCAAAGATAGCAAAGGAAATACGCCCCTAGACAACGCAGCCAAAGCCGGAGATACAAGCCTTATTGAATTATTGCTAATGAAAGTTAACTGGATGGAGAATTCACCTAGAGCTTGGGTTAATGCCTGTGAAAATGGTCACGTAGGTGCTTTCCACCAATTGATATCGAGCGACAAGGAAAAATTCTGGCGGCTTTGTGAGATGCAAACAGATACACCTCTGCATCATATCTGCCTGACAAATCAGAAAGATTATGAAGAATTCATCAAAACATATCCTGGAATAGAACAACAGATTAATGTAAAGGATAGTCAAGGCGCGACACCTTTGCATCAAGCAATACAACGGAAAGATTTGGTCCTGGCTGAAGTATTACTAAAAATCAAGGCAAAACCAGACATTAAGGACAATAATGGGGTAACAGCCATGGCAATGCTAGCAAGTGAATGTGAGAAATCTAAAGAATGGGTACGTTTTACAAACTTGCTTTGTCATTATATTTTAAGTTTAGTTCTTGACTGAATTCCTCAATTTCTTTGAGTTGCTTTTGTGTCTATATATATATATGGAAAATTTGTAAATAATAATCCCAACTTTGCTCCATTTTCTTTTACTCCATCCGTCCCTAAATTACATTCATCTTTGGAAATTTACACGGGAATTAAGGAGAGAAGAATAAGACAAATAACAATAATAGATAATGCAATGGGAAGTACAATAGAATAGTTGTTACTCATGACATTTCATCAGTCATTTGCAAAAAAAAAGGACCAATCACATGCTTCTAATTGAAAATTTTAAACCAATCATATTCATTGTAATTTGACACAAGGATTATGAGTGAGATTAGGTAAGGATGAGTGAGAAAGCATTAAATATAAAACAAAAAAAAGAATTGATTTACTAAAAAAAAACTTACCAAAGATAGAAAGGAGGAATGTAATTTAGGGACGGATGGAGTAATAATCCCAACTTTGGATTATACTAGAATAATCCCAACTTTAGTGGTTGTTTTCTTTCTTCAATCCCAAACCGCTCAACAAAAGTCAACGACCTATAGCAGGTTACATTACACGTGTCAGCTTGTCATTGGTGTATAAAAATAAAAAAAAATTATAAAAAAAAATTAAAAGAAAAAAAAAACCAAAAACCACTCAAACCACCTAGCCTCCCACCGAAACCTCCAACCTCATCCACCGCCCGTCCCTCCGCCACCAAAAAACCCACGCCCATACCCCGAAAACACAAACCCCCCTGAAACCTCCCCCTGCGTTCGACTCTGATCCGCCTCAGCAGCTCTCGTATCCCAATTCCAACTCATCAAACACCGCAACATTACCTTCCGCAACAACAGATTCAATCGTTGTCTCCGATTTACCGTACCTTGCTGCTGTAAATCTAAGGCTTAAGGTGAAAAATGGATTCAAGAAGTGCCAAATTGCTACCGGAGGTGTCGAATTGCTATTAGAGGTGGGGAATCGCTGCTGTAAATCTAAGGTTTAAGGTTTAAGTTGTTGATGCTATTGAAGGCTGAAATTAGGTGTCGAAATTGCTGATTGCAGCCTTGCAAGTGGCGAATTGCAGCTGAGATGGAGACGGGTGTTGCGGCTGATGGTTTAGGCTGGTGGTGATGGTGGTTGTTTGGTGTTTACGGGTTGTGCGGTTGTTTGGGCTGGGTTGCTGGTGCTAGTTGTTATTTGTGGTTGTAGCATGCATGGTCGCGTGGAATGGGGTGGCTGGCCGGCGAGAGGAAGATTGTGAGTTCCTCGGTGTGCGGTGGGGTTGGGGTTCCGGTGGACGGTGTGGCTGGGTGGCTAGGGAAGGGGTTTTCTGAATTTTTTTATTTTTTTAATTTTTGGCCAGTTAACTCTTGACACGTGGCACTTATTAAAAAATAAAAAAGAAATTAACTTGTTCAACGGGTAACTGGTAATTGGGATTGAAGAAATAAAACAACCCCTAAATTTAGGATTATTCTAGCTAGAATAATCCAAAGTAAGGATTAAAAGAAAATGGAGTAAAGTTGTGATTATTATTTACAAATTTTCCTATTTGCTAAATAGGAAACTAGAAAGAAATCTAGAAAGAAATCTGCAAATATCTCCAGCTTAGCATGCTGTCAAAACTGATTTTTAAGAATAAAATTATGGATGTTTCTACAATGGTCATCCCTAAAACAACCATCCCTATTTTTAATACAATTCCTTTTGTATACCCCCGGTGCACAATAAAAAATACTGTCCATCAATAATTATCACGTGCCATTTGTAGCCATAGTGTCTGCAGACTCTGCACTCTGCAGTGCCCAAAATAAAGAGAAAACAAATTTACTTTTTTTTTTTGATTAATTTTTTTTATCTTAGCTTTCTATCTCCAACCAGAAATTTGTTGAAATTTTTCCAAAAATTATGATTTAATCCAACCTCAAAGCTGCTATCTCAACTAGTAATTGAGCCAAATCTTAGCAAAAGTCTGGTGGATTTGTTACAAATTTAAATCAAATCACAATACGTTATAATTCAAGAGTAGTTTATCATCATTCATCTTTCACATTTTCGCTCCAATTGACTGAGGTTTTCGTCGCTTTAAACAAATTGTTAATTTCCTGCTTATATTTAACTTTTGTTTATATTAAATTTTTTATTTAAAAAATAAAATAAAAACACAATAACACTCAAAAGTTACCCTTTTATATACAAAAAGTTACCCTTAAACTCACAAAAGTCACCCTCTATCTAGAAAAAGTTATCCTTAAACATACATAAACTACCCTTAAACACACACAAGTTACCCTTTTATTTACAAAAAGTTACCCTGAAACTCACAAAAGTCACCCTCAATCTAAAAAAAGCTATCCTTAAACACACATAAACTACCCTTAAATACATATAAGTTACCCTTTTATTTACAAAAAGTTACCCTTAAACTCACAAAAGTCACCCTCAATCTAAAAAAAGTTATCCTTAAACACACATAAACTACCCTTAAACACATATAAGTTACCCTTTTATTTACAAAAAGTTACCCTTAAACTCACAAAAGTCACCCTCAATCTAAAAAAAGTTATCCTTAAACAAACACATACGAAGCATAAGTTACCCTTAAACATACACAAGTTAATCCATTATAATACAACCAAAAAAAAAAAGTTATCAAACCTTTATTACAAAACGCTGAACATCATTACAATCTTCAATAGGACACATCTTCACTATAACTTTTTTCTTCTTTAAAGATTTTTTATCCACCAATTTAGTTGATTCTACTTAAAAAAATTACTGTAACATTAGAAAGAACAAAAACAAGGAGAAGAGGTAAGATGAAAAAGCAATGAAGAGGAGAGAGAGAGGGGATAAGGAGATTATAATTATATAAAGACCAAAATGTAGAAAAGAAAAGAGGAGAGAGAAAAAAATCAGAAAGTGTTTTTGGAGGAGAGGACAAAATCAAAGAGGTAAATAAAAAAGTACGAGTAAAAAAAATCCGAGGCACGTGAGAATATTGAAGAGGACAATAATTTCTCAAATTGGGCCGCGCGACATACACTAAATATTGTACACTGACTTTTTTTAAAAATTTGTGTTTTCAATATTGGCTAATTTTTCCTTTTTCTTTTTTGCTTGGTCAAACGTCTTTTTTGTTTTTTTTTTCTTTTTTAAATTCAATTGCTTTTTCTTTCTTTTTTTTTTTTGAAAATTAAATTCTGATTTTTTTTGAAAATAAAAAAAAATTATTAATATATAAAAAAAAAACAGTTTCTAAAATACAATCCAAAAATTAATTATCAAATTAAAATAATTAAAATCAAAATATTCTTCAATGTCCTTCACTCATGGATGAAAATGACCACCATCATTAGAATCTTTGTTCATCCTTAGATGAAAATAACTACCATAATTAGAATCTTTTTCCCATAAGTAAACTCACACATCAATACAGATTGAAAATAAGTCTCGATCTACATAGCTAGTATATGAAAATTTTGAGCTCGTTCGAAATCAGGGTTTGTATGTACGAATTTGGGTTCGATTTAAATCCTAAAAAATACATGTTAGACAATCACAATTAAGGTATGCATAATCGCCAATTTTATCTATGCGAAATTTTTTTTTTTTAAAAAAAAAATAAAATTTGACCGTATGGGTTCGTGAGGCAAAGTGAAGAAGAAAGCATATTATTTTTTCAAAAGCATGTTTGATCCAAAAACCGAAGATGGAATTTTAAAACGTGTTTGTGTATAATTAAGGTATTCACTAATATGCTAATCGGACAACCTATAACTAACAAACAGTTTTATTGTGAATTTTACATCATAAATCACATAATTCATTAATAGTTATGACTTATGAGACAAGTGGATTGAGACAAATATAGTAGCTTAATTTCTAACTCCTTATAAAACTTCTTCCCCCTTCCGTCTACAACCAGCCAGGCCTCTTTCACTGCAACCATGATATTTCCATCAACCACCACACCCTAATTTCCCTCTCTCTGTAGTCCATTCTACATCAAAAACGAGGTTAACAGGACCATTGTCAACTAACACTATGTTTACATTTTGGGTCTGTTTAATATTCCTTTGGGTTTAATTGATTGGAAAACAGGCTACTTAACAACTGATGCATTATCGATCTATTCAAACCAGATTCCTAAATTGGACAAATTCTATGAAAGATATAGCTAGTAAAGAACAAGAATAATCAACCATTAAACAAAATTTTTTTGATTTTTTATTTTTTAAAAGTATATGATATATGTTCCATAATGAATCAAAAATTATTATTTTATTTTTTTTTTGAAAAAATGAATCAAAAATTATTTAAACTTATTAAAATCATGATAATTTTGAAAACTGACAATAGAAAAATGGAAACACCTTTTTCTTGTTTTCAGTTTTTGGTTTTTGGTTTTTTTTAAAAAAAAAAAGAATCTGAAAACGAAAATGATGCCAAACAAGCCCTTAGGGCTTGTTCTCTTTAGCTTATTTGCAGTTTAGTTCAGCTCCAATAAATTCACTTCAATTCAGTTCAATCTTATCTTAATTTCCTTCGCTTATAAAATATTTAGTTCAGTTCAGTTCAGCTCAATTCAGTCAATTAATTAGTTTAGGCCCTTAGTCCTACGAAGACACCATATGGTACCAAAAAAGTTTGAAAGTAAAAAAACTACAGGTCTTATATTAGAATGAAAAAAGTTAGATGATTGTAAATTCAATTAAATTTAGGAAAGATTATACACATATATATACTTCCTCCGTCCTCTTAATATTGCAACAATTACCGTTATAAAAAGTTTTGCAAGTAATGAAATATTACCATCTATGTACATAATTTCTCTATATTTCTCTCGTTATTACATGAGTCCTTATCTTTAATTCTCTCTATCTTTCGTACCAGCAAGTTCATACCAAACCTGTACTATACTTACTAAAAGAAAGGAAAGATTTAAACTAAAGAAGAATCGTTGAAAATGGCTTGCCTTGTATGATATTCACAAACCAATATATAGTACAAACTAGCACTGTCAAATTTCAAACCGAAATCATTTAACTGTCCGAAACCAATTGACCCAAATGAGATCAGAATCGAATTGATTTAAAACCATTTTTTTAGCTGAAAACCAATTAAGTAAACTTGATACCGAACCATCCAAATACTGTTAAACCGTATTAGAACCAAACAATTTCTAAATCGAACTGAATTAGAACCGAACTAAAAAAGAACCATAACTTTGTTTATAACCCAAACCGTTTCTAACCTAAAATCATTTACACCGAACCATTTATACTAACCAAAACGGTTTACAAATCGATTCGCTTATAAATCGAACTTCTTATAAACCGAAACGTTCATAAACTAAACTATTTACAAACCGGCTTTTATAATTTGGTAGTCTAAGTAGAATAAATCTTGTCATATTAATCTAATAAATGTATGAACTATAGAAAGAGGATTAAAATCACGTTAAAAGGAATTTTAAATGATATCTACTTGTGTGCACATGTTTACTACAGAATACATTATTACCAGAGTCTCGGTTAAGTTAGTAATTAGTTCATTGTAATTTTTTTTACACATAACTGATTTTAGACTATGTTCATGCATCTTTTTTTTTTTTGTTTGTTTTGAATAGTTCATGATTTATTACTTCATTAGAACACAGAAGAAAATAAAGTGAAACCATTTAACTGCTTGAAATCGACCGACTAAAATTAAATTAGAACCGATTAACAACATATTTTTTGTTATAAAAAAGCCGACCAAAATCGTAGTTTAGTAAACTCGAAACCAAACCGATCTGAGTAATGTTAAACCGTATAAGAATTAAACCCGTTAACAAACCGAACCAGTTTCACCAAATTGAAATAGAATCGAACCGAAAAAGATCTGAACCATCGTTAACCCGAACCATTTGAATCGGGTTTAAAACTGTTTACACCAGTGGCGATTCCAGGGCACTCTCCAAACTAATATAGCGATATCAAATGTCATAATTAAAATAAAATTTTCATTTGTTAATTCGGGTGTGCACAATACATGTCAATTACAATAACAACAAAAAAGTTAAACTAAATTACAATTGAACTCGACTTTATACGAATTTTGCAATTTTAACACACGTCCTTTCAAAAATACTTTAAGTTTTTCATATCCAAACTGTAAAACACAATGATAGAATATATATACGTATTAACATTCTACTTTCTACTTCACATATTTTGAATTCACAGTTTCACAATTCACATCATTTATCCAATTATCAATTTACTCCAACTAATTAACAATTGTACAAATCCATCAAGCATTCACAACTTCAATTATTGGATAATTAACAATATAAATAACAGTTTTGAGTTTAATTAAAAAAAAATTTACTTAAAAAAAATAAAAGCTGAAAAAAAATAAAAAAAAAGTGCAAGGTTGTTAGTGGGTTTCGAACCAAAACCTTTCCTCTGAAATATAAAGTGCTAATATATAGTCCGCAGATTCTCTCTTGAAAATAAATGCATAGTTTAATATTTAACCCTTGTTTTGATTAATTTTCTGTAAAAAAAAAATAAAAGAAGTGTGGTTAGTGGGTTTCGAACCCATACCTTTCCTCTAGAAGGTGAAGCACTAACCAGTAGTCCGCGCATTATCTAACATAAATACTTGCATGGTTTAATATTTATACCTTGTTTGGATTATTTTTGTAGAAAAAAACCTATCAGTTTTTTTTCGGATCCAGTATGGGTTCAGCAGAACCCACTGAACCCATACTGGAATCGCCACTGGTTTACACCGAACCATTTACACACTGCAACCCGTTTGCACTAAATCATTTACAAGCAGAACAGAATTAAAACTGCACAAAAAATAAACTGAAACCAACCCATAGGTCACTTGAATCGGTATTAAAGAGAATCGTTTCAAATTGAACCAAAACCGAGCGGTGAAACCGTTTTGACAATGTTAGTACACACATAGGAAACTTGAAGCTCATAAGAGATACATGTACCAAATGATAACCATACAACAAAAGTTTACCATAACGGACTTCAATTCTAATACTCCCCTTCAAGTTAAAGTGTGGAGATCACAAGTGTCCAACAGCGTAATGGAAACCCAAACAATTGTCGTCCTAGAGCCTTCGTAAGAGTATCTACCTTCTAATAGATGATTTATTCATCATAACATATTAGCATATACGAAATCAACAAAAGAGTCAAAAGATAGATTTTTGGGCCTGGTTCACTTACTTTCTTGTAGGAAGCTATCCATAGTATCATGCAGCAGTGAGCCTACACTTAAAGACCATTAGAACCAGAAATATAGCTCCTGTATGCATACAGATAGAAAATTCTATTTTAAAATCAGCCTTATAGGGTGAATGCTATGCCAACAACTACATACATTATCTTGTAGGATTCAATGTGCAAGCGTACAGATATATATCCAAGGATAAAAACAAGCTATGTGTCACAAAAGACAAACTTGGGGGAAATGAGAGGGACGATGTCAGTAGTAGCAGCACTTCTAGCCACAATAACATTCGCAGCTGGACTCCAAGTTCCTGGTGGTTTCAATGATAAAGGAAAAGATGCTTTAGGGAATAATGCAGCATTCGTAGCGTTCTTGATATTTGATACATATGCGATGTGTTGTTCTATGGTTGTCTTGTTCTCTCTAATCTGGGCTATGGATTTGGATAATGAAAAGGCACTAGTTTTAATTGATCTCAGTGTGAGTATACTCCAGCAGTCCTTTTATGGGACTCTGCTAGCCTTCATGACTGGAGTTTACGCTGTGGTGTCTCATCACCATCACTCTTCTGGATGGGCAGTTTCCATTTTCATCATTGTGGTGTGCTGTATGGTCCTACTCATAACCAACAAGAGTATTCTTCTCTGGATCCTTCAAAGTTCAAAACTAGGATGCGATGAATAATTTGGAGTGAGTATATTAAATCAGTTGGTTCCTCAGGATAGATATAATTACTACCAAAATGGATAAATAATCTCGTGAGAACCCCTCCTTTATGTGAGAATTGTTCTTATGTGAGAACACTTTTTATGTTCTAAATATTTACTTGTATGTTTTAAATTTTATACCTGATGTTATAAACTTTTTCCCAGGTGTCCAAAATTAAATCAGATGTTCTAAATTAGTACTCACATGTTCTAAAGCATATACTTCCTCCGTTTCTTTTTAGTTGACACGTTGTTAGACACGTATGCCAATGCACAAATCAAAACATTAATATCTTTAGCTACCGATAAGTAAAAATTATAAAATAATTGATATTTTGAAAATATATACCGTGACGAATCTAACAAGACCCCACATGACTATATTTTACATTACGTATAAGTCAAAAAACATGGTCAAAGGGGAGTGTGTGAATAGTGCTAAAATAAAACGTGTCAACTAATAAAAAACGGAGGTAGTATTATTAAGTTATATGTTATAAATTTTGAATAACTTATTCCAAAATTTTAGCTTATATGTTCTAAATTTTAAAACGTGCGCTTGTTCTAAGATTTTTAGCTATATGATCTAAATTTGAAAGCATATGTTCCAATTTTTACTCCCATGTTCTAAATTTTTACTCATATGTTCTACGTTTTTACTCCCATTTTCTATATTTTATACCAGGTGTTCTAATTTTTTTATTCACATGTTCTAAATTTAAATCAGGTGTTCTAAATTTTACTTATATGTTCTAAATTTCATAAAGCAGATTTTTTTAAATTTTCACTCGCATGTTCTAGTTCTTAAGTCTGATGTTCTAAATAATTACTCACACAGATGTTCTAAATTATTACTCATGTGTTCTAAATTTAAATTTGAGACGCATGTTCTAAATTTTTACTCTTGTGTTCTAAATTATAGATTAGTTCTCATATAAGTATGAATTCTCACATATTGACCTATATACTACCTCTATTTCTTATTATCTGCAACAAAAGAATATTTTAAATCTCACAAATAATACTTATTTGTTACATATAATAAGAAACGGAGGTAGTATATATATACATATACATATATATATACATATACATATGTATATATATACATACGTATATATGTATATATACATACGTATATGTATGTATATATATACGTATATATATAAGAACCCTTTCTTATGTAAGAATACCTTAGGGGAGGGATCCGGTAAGAACCCTTTTTATATAAAACCCTTTCTTATGTAAGAATACCTTATGTTCTAAACTTTTTTCTGCTTATGTTCTAAACATTTTCGTATGTTCTAAATTTTTTCCAATGTTCTAAATTGTTTTTTTAGATTATGTTCTAAATTTGTTCTTATGTTCTTTTTTTTTTTCCAGCTTATGTTCTAAATTTTTTTAGGTTCTAAATTATTTTTTCAGCTTATGTTCTAAAGTTTTTCCTATATTTTAAATTTTTTCTACTTATGTTCCAAATTATTTTCAATGTTCTAAATTGTTAGATTATGTTCTAAATTTGTTCTTATGTTCTAAGTTATTTTTTCAGCTTATGTTCTAAATTTTTTCCTATGTTCTAAATTTTTTTTTTCAACTTAAGTTATTAATTTTTATTTATGTTATAAATTATTTTTTCAACTTTTGTTCTAAATTATTTTTCTTATGTTCTAATGTTTTTGGTTGCTTATGTTCTAAATTTTGCTATCTTCAAAATTATTTTTCTTATGTTCTAAAATTTTCTGCTTATGTTCTAAATTTTTTATGCTTACCTATGTTCTAAATTTTTTTCCATGTTCTAAACTTTTTTTATATGTTTTAAATACGAAATTCTCAAAATTACAGAAATGCCATTACTAAAGGATCATTTTAGATTGTTAGATCAAAACTAATAAAGGGCTGAGATTGGTTTTTATATAAGATTGGGTTCTTATATAGAGGAAGGTTCTTATATATATATATATATATATATATATATATATATATATATATATATATATATATATATATATATATATATATATATATATATATATTTGCGATGCCCGGGTTGTTCGTTGAATTTTAAGATAAACTTTTTTATCTAAAATTTATACGGAGTATTTTATTTGAATTTTCTACTCATGGATTAATAGTCATTTTCTACTCATGAATTTTTTGCCACTACCTAGCCACTTATCAGTGGCCGGCGACCACCCCCCTCCCATACCCCGACGCTAGCAGCCCTCCCCTACCCACTCCGTAACGCTGTTTGTTAAGTTCAATCCGCTGTTTCTGGCGGTCGACAGTGTGGTCATCAACTTGGTAAAAGCACCATCCTCAGCTTTTGAATCCACTCCTTGACGGCATCACTGTCATTCGCTTCTTGGTGCCTTTGAGCATCGCGAACTCAAGCTTGGATCATCCTGATGGTGTTCTCTAGTTTCTTCAAATCGGCTCGTGCACCCCACCAGGATGCAGCCTCTTTAAAGGCTGCTTTACCCAAAACTTCCAAGGCTTTTGCAACTAAGTCAAAAATAATTCCCTCTGCCATTTTTCTTAGTTTGTCTTTAATCTGAGCTCTCTCTTTGTGAATATTGTCTAATTTCTGATATTTGTAAACCAATACTTGACTTTAATAATCTAATTTATGACACTTTTAGTATATCTGATAAGTAACGAAAAGACGGTTTCATACTGCATTTTCTGGTAAGGGGATGAAGGTAGAATCGTAACCAGAGAATACGACCCTAATTGAACTTATAATCTAAGTTCTGGCAATTACAATATAATATCTGATAATTATAATCTAATACCTGACCATTATAATCTAATTTCTCACAATTGAAACCTAATATCTGACACTGATAATCTAATATCTTATAATTATAATTAAATATTTGACCGTTATTATCTAATTCCTGGCAATTTTAATCTAATATCTGATATTTACAAAGTATAACTTAATATCTGACTATTTTTATCTAATTCCTGACAATTAAGAATTTTATTTTTTTTATTTGTATGACCAGACTCACTTGAGTCCATTCTACGCAATACTTTCCAAAGGAAAATTTTAGACCAGGTAAGCGGATAAATTAAATCATAAAATTTTACCGTCGATAAGAAAAAAAGGGATAAGTTGCTATACGGCTAAAATTTCATAACTTAATTAATTCGTTTACCTAGTCTAATCACCTTCTTGAAAAGCGTGATAAAAGTGTTGCAACTATTAAAAAACAGAGGAAATAATAGAAGTAAATGGATTTATTTTGATGTAACGAATATTATGATAATATAGAATAATAAATTTATAAGATAACGGTTATATAAACTAATAAGTCTCTTTGATTTTTTTTTCCCCTTTTTAATTTGTATAAAATCTTAACCAAAAGTTTTATTGAAATTAAAACTCTAGAATAACTTTTTTTATCAAATTAAATCTATCTAAATTTTATTGAAAATAAAACTTTAAAATAACTGTTTTATCCTAATAAATCAATCCAACTTTTTGTCTTGTTAAAAATTATTCAAATAAATCATACGTGTCAAAATTTTAATTAATTGTCGTCTACGTGGTGGACACTTGGCGAAAAGTTAGAGCACCAAGTGTCATTGTCTCGTGACCTGGCTAAAAGTTTAGCTTTATATATATATATATATATATATATATATATATATATATATATATATATATATATTGGGCTTGTTCACATTTACTGAACTGAGCTGAACTGAACTAAACTGAAATTAACTAAATGAAAAGGGTGTTAATATGAGAAGGATGAGAAGGATTATGTGCGCATATTTTTTGTACTAAGCATATATATATTTTGAACTAAATGTGCAGAATCTTAAAATATAAAAAACCAACGCCTTAAAAAATATTTCTCTTCCATTTTTAAGATCTTATCAACCTCTTCTCCTGCCATTGTTAATGCTCATAAATTTCTCTCTCCTCCAAGCTCCAACAATGGTGGCCAATCTACCGTAACTCACATGTACTTTTCTCTCCAACACTTTCTTATTTTCCGTAACCACCGCTCGATGCCCACTACAACCGTCAATCTCACTCCAATTAATTCAAAATTTATGCACATCGTTGGATTTATATGTACGATCAAGATTTTTTCTCTTCCTTCTCATTATAAGATCCTTCTCATTGGATCTCATTTGAAATAACTAAGGAAAAGGAAAATAATCATTTAACTGTTATCTTTTCATTTGTTTAGTTGGTTTTTTATCAATAAATATTAACATAATTCATCAATAAACCCAACTAAATGATATAATGCATACACATTTAAATTATCGATGATGTAAAATTTATTTAAGGAAAATTTGTCAAAAAGGTCTTTTTATGTAGGTTTTTTTTTGTTATAAAGATTTTTTATTTTTTTAAAAAAAAAAGAAGAAGAAAAGAAAATGGCACCAAAGGTTAATTTTATATGATTTAGGTTGTGACGAGGGTTCTTTGATCAGATTTCTGCCATTGACTTTTTTCCGGCCAAAAAAGTTTTGTGCATTGCACGTGACTACTTAGTTTCCCCCTCCCCCCCCCCCCCTCAATTTCCCCCTTTTCCTTTTATTAAACCCTAATTTCTTCTTCTTCAACCTATATGCGAACCTTATTATGTGAAGGAAAATCATAAAAATCTGATTGAAGTCCCTGAAATTAAAATTGAAGGCATTTGAGAATCATAATAATAATTAAAAAAAAAAAAAAAAAAAAAAAACTGGTTTCTCTTACCTAAAAAAATTTAAAAGGTTTTTCTTAACAAAAAAGGTCACTTTAAAAGGTTATTCTGAACAAATTTCCCAATTAAACATTATTATAAAATTATTTTTATTATTTTTTATTATTATGATTATTATGTCTTTGTTATCAACATATTATTATTATATAGTACAAAATATTTATGGATGATTATTAGATAATAGTTTTTTTGAAGACAATAGAATTAGATAATAGTTGTTGAACATAATTGAATATAATGACGGCACTGAGCCTAGCTAGCCCGCCCACTCTGGCCTGACATTATTTATGCTGGGCCATAGGCCGTATAATTGTGAAATAGAGTTATGGCAAGGCCTGCAAATAGGCCTGTGGACTTGTCTATCACCATTAACAAAATATCCTAATACAAACATTTAAAAAAAAAAAAATTAATAAATAAACTAACCATTAATTAAGCACAAGAGATAATATTTCTTCAAAAAAAAAAA